AACCTTCATTAGTACCTCATCTTAGTGGTAAGCAGTGCCCTGTACTGGTGCTATGAAGGTCTTAAGGTCATAGAGGCATTTCCACAGGACAATTGTTTACATAGGTTAGCTTTTTAATAAATACAGTGGAACCTCAGGTTAAGTACTTAATTCTTTCTGGAGGTCTGTTCTTAACCTGAAACTGTTCTTAACCTGAAGCACCACTTTAGCTAATGGGGCCTCCTGCTGCTGCCGCGCTGCTGGAGCACGATTTCTGTTCTCAACCTGAAGCAAAGTTCTTAACCTGAAGCACTATTTCTGGGTTAGCGGAGTGTGTAACCTGAAGCGTATGTAACCCGAGGTACCACTGTATCTGCATCTGCACATGTATGCGTGTGAATATAAATGACATGGAGTGGAAGGTTTTTCTTTCTTTCAAGATAAAACGTTGGATTTTTGTTGTCTCTTTACTCTACAATGGTATTAGATTCAGGTAGGTAGCCGTGTTGGCCTGACGCAGTCGAAATAAATAAATAAATAAAATTGTCCAGTAGCACCTTAGAGACCAACTAAGTTTGTTCTAGTACAAGCTTTCGTGTGCATGCACACTTCTTCAGATACACATGCACACGAAAGCTTATACCCAGAACAAACTTAGTTGGTCTATAAGGTGCTACTGGACAATTTTTTAATTTATTTCGTCTACAATGGTATGAAATTTGTGTTTGTGGAAATTAACCTTTCTCTCTTCACATGAGAGCAACATCACACACACAACTACACGTAGTGTGTGTGACATCACACGTGCAGGCGTGTGCATGTGACATCGCACATTCATGTAATGGCAGCCAGTGGCAATGGCTCCTCTTCCTCCTCTTTTCCACAGCCAGTGAGGCACACTTTTCTGTGAGAGGCTCAGTCTCAGAGGCAGAGAGACTCTGCCTCTGTGTTCAAGCCCCTGTTCTCAAAAAGGGTGCCTTGCTGGAGGGTTGTGGAGGGCGGAACTGAAATGAGAGAGTTATGTTCACACTGAATTGCACCAGTTGGGATATCTTTCTGCTACACTCATGAGTAGTATAAAGCTACTATTTCCTGTCAAATGCTTATGCCCCACCCTTAGAGTTTGATTGGTCCCCCTATACTACTCTTATGCCTAGAATGTTGGGCAAGTGACATAATTTGTCGTGGAGCTTCCACCTTCCCACCCACTAATTTTCTTGTTTGATGCTATTGTGGTTATTAACAACCCATTTCAGAATGTGAATCAGGGAGCTATTTCCAATGCTATAATTAGGGATGAGTCGAAACTCCTCATGCTGTTCTTTTTGGTTTGTGTTGAAAAGCACCCCCTGCTTTCAGCAATGCACATCCGGCATTCATGTGGTTTGGATGCCGTTCTTCTTGATATCGGCATTCAGCTTTATTTGATCCCGGGGTGCCATCTGGTCCTCAGGATTGTGGGTGCCCACCGCTGCGGAATGGAGGAGGAAAAGGAGCTACTGCCACTAGCTGCCACAACACGGATGTGGAACATCACACACACAACTACACGTAGTGTGTGTGACATCACATGCACTACGTGCAGGCGGGTGTGTGTGACATCACACATTCATGTAATGGCGGCCAGTGGCAATGGCTCCTCTTCCTCCTCTTTTCCACAGCCAGTGAGGCACACTTTTCTGTGAGAGGCTCAGTCTCAGTCCCCTGTTCTCAAAAAGGGTGCCTTGCTGGAGGGTTGTGGAGGGCGGAGCTGAACTGCTTCTCTCATAGAGGCAGCGCCTGCTGGCTTTTCTCATTGATTTTATGGGTCCCCAGCCCCCACAATTATATTATTGCAGGTGCCCAGGCACCCACAGCCCCCCGAAGTTGGCTCCTGTGTTTGATCCACTGCCATTTAATCCAATTGGATGTGACATTTTTGTCAACAGAGTCACAAATAATGGTCAGGTATGGTGGAAGTTGTAGTTCAAAACATATGGAGGGCACCATGTTGATTACCCCTGTCTTAAAGCATGGCACCTTCCTCTACCTAATCCTTTAGGCGGAAATGACAGGGGCTGAATTTGGAACCTTGGCGTCCAAATAATGTGTTCAGCCACTGAGTGATGGCCCTAAACCATTAGAGGAGGACTTCATAAGTGGCAGTCTACTAAGCCAATCAGCAATGTGGGGCAGGACCCCAGGGACTTTGTAAGTCTGTTTTTGCTATTCTGGACAGCAAAACTAGGGGGGTTCCCAAGCACTTTATTATGGCTAAAGGGCTGTGTATTTGGCTTGGTGAGTTATCAGTAGTATTCTAGTGGCAAGTTGTCCCAGCCAACTTTAGTAGCATGATGGTGATAATAAATTGGAATTGAACAATGTGTACAGGCTTGGGTTGAGAAGGTGGGTACTGTCCAGCTTCAACTGTTGCTCAGCCTTGCTTTGGCCTTTTTATTCTAGGAAAAGCCAGAACCGGACAGGGTGTATGTGCTGGTGGTTGCATTAGAAAGGTTCTACAGATGAAAATCACTAGCCACATTGCAACTGGCATATCTGATGCTTCTTCTACTACAACTGCATCTCTAAAAGCTTGGCAAGGAAATCCGCCTGTCATGAGTTATATATCATTTCAACATTGTAACAGTCCATCCAGTCCACCTGGTCTTTTGGGATCCATTTCTGGATGCATCAAAGAAATACTTCTTCAAAAAATGTTTCATTTTCCCCCCCCCCACGTGAAGCCATTTCCAAGGGGGGGAAAGAAAGTTCACCAACCTATTTTGTTGTTGTGGTTACTATTAATCATGATCAACGGCCTCTGTAATTTCATGGGATAAGTACAAGTACCCAAGACAGGGAGATCAAGCAAAGGATTGCCTTCTAAGCATACCTCATCACAGGACATAGCTAAAAGAAAGTGGCTGTCGGTGGGTTTTCTTTTGGGCCATTTTATGAGATGTCCCCATTTTCTGTTTTACACCTATTGGGTTTTCGTTATGAAGTTTAAGAATATTTCACAGACAAACAGCAAACCCGCTGACAATTCTTTTGGCCAACCTTTTCCTTTATGTATTCAATTTGTATCCCAGTATTTCTCCCAAAGCAGCCTCAGAATTTAGGATCTTTGCCTCCACCCCACTAAACTATTGGGTAGGATTTTACCATCTCAAGTCAGGCTAATTCTTCTGTATTTGTAGACCAGGCCTTATCCAAGCAACTATGGACCCCTCCAGACACCCTTTTTATTGTTCATTTTTGATTATTTGAGCTCATGATGCTATTGGGCTGGTCATGGGTGACCCCATTTTTGATATTACTTGCTGCTGCAAAAGTTCTGGAGTGGCCATATTGCTCCATTTCTAATGTGTGCCTATCCCATTACTTCCTGCTGAAATCCTGTTCCAGTTTATTTTTTGTCTCCATTTTGTTGCACTGTAAAAAAGGTAAAGGTAAAGGATTCCTGACAGTTAAGTCCAGTAGCAAACGCCTCTGGGGTTGCGGCACTCATCTCGCTTTGCTGGCCGAGGGAGCCAACGTTTGTCTGCAGAAAGTTTTCCTGGGTCATGTGGCCAGCATGACTAAGCCACTTCTGACAAACAAGAGCAGTGCACAGAAACGCCATTTACCTTCCCGCCAGAGAGGTACCTATTTATCTACTTGCACACTGAGGTGCTTTTGAACTGCTAGGTTGGCAGGAGCTGGGACCGAGCAACGGGAGCTCACCCCGTCACGGGGATTCAAACTGCTGACCTTCCGATCGGCAAGCCCAAGGCTCAGTGGTTTAGACCACAGTGCCACCCGTGTCCCTGTAGCACTGTAGCTCCTGCAAATAGCAGTTATGTGGTAGCACTGGCGAAGCATTGCAATACAGACTAATTAGAGCAGAATAAATCCACCAATGATGAACTATTATTGCATCAATAATGTGTTGCAAAGCACATTGCAGAAAAATACCTGTCTCAAAAGAGGGCCTGTATTAGCATATATAAGTTTAGTTAAATGTTGTTGTTTTCTCAGAGAGAGGGGGGGGAATAGAAAACACTTATGTAAGACGGAAGCCAGGTGCATGCATGCAGTTTATTTAAAATGCAGACGAGGGTTTGGAGTTCTTGACAAGAAGCAAAGTGTAGGCAGTGATGTTACAACTGTGTAGATACAGACAGCACAAGATGTTTTGAACCAGTTTTTAAACGAAATAGCAATGCATGCATTGAAGTGTGGGAAAAACATATAAAAGTGCTTAATTGTTACTAATTTTTATTGCAAGTGGAGCTGAAACAGAATTTCACAGAATAATTCTGAAGATTTCTTGATATATATATTTTTTGAATTCCATAAACAGCTTTTAGGAAGGTTGAAACGCAATTCTTGTCACCAAAACCAGGGTACTGATGCACAAGTTAACTGCAGGTAAACACACCACACACCGTCACTTCCCCCAACCCTCAAATTTGGCTTCTAACAATTTTGGATTAATTTGACCTCTAAGCACCCACATCTGTTGCAGGTCTAGTTGCAACAATACTGTAATTTATATCAAAGGGAGTGTTCTGGTATGATGAGAGCATACATGCAAAGCAGGGACAACAAAAACCAACTGAGTAAAATATGCATATAGCTAAATGTCATTCCTGTGCAACGCAACTGGAAAGAGAAATGCTACTTTGCAATCTCATATCGGACAGTGAAGCCATTGATTCCCCTTCTGAAATGCTTTGCTAGAACGAGGAGGGGGAGATTTCTTAATCCAAATGTAGTGAGTCCTAATTTAGCCTGTGCAAGAAAACCCAGGGGGTGAAAAAGGGGGAAAGGAGAAACCATGGAGGGAGATTGCTTGCATAGCCAAAATAATTCCCAAAGATAGCTACCGAGCCATTGAACTCAAGCTACAGCAATCCACAAGAAATCAGAAACTTCTCTGCTAGAGATCGTATGTTGGGCAGGGCTGTTACTTTAGCACATGGCTGCCACTGGCCACAAATTGAATGATTCGTGCAGCTGTCTACAGGTGGGCTTCATCCCTTCCCAACAGCTGGGCTTCAGTGGAGGCATTTTCTGGATGAAGAACTGACGGATGTTACATGCACATTTCTAACACCGGTGGTGCAGTCCCCTCGAGAACCGCCATATATAGCTGATAGCATGCCTCCACCAGACCCGGTGCCATAAGCCCCCCCAGCAGCCAAGTTCTGCACTCCAACCCCATAGCCCCCGCTCCCAGAGGAGCTAATTCCTCCGGCTCCCCCTACTGCATGGTGGATCCCACCATGGTGGCCACCCCCACAACTCCCTTCTGTAGAAATGCCTGAGCTGTGTCTCCCACCCCCAGAGGTCACCTCGTGCTTAGCGGTAGTAATGCTCGAAGCGTAGCCTCCGCTTCTGGAACTGAACCCTCCTGCAACTCCTACTCCAGCGCTATGTCCAATCCCATAACCAACACCGGCCGCTCTGCCTACTGAGCCAGCTGCAGTTCGGGAGCCCATTGTGTGGACGCATCCTGCACTTCCAGAGCTGAACCCATCCCCAACGCCGCCGTAGGCACCAACTCCATGTTCTACGCCTCTTCCTACAGCAGCTCCAAAGGCCATTCCAGCTCCAGGTGCACATTCGCCAACCGGGAAGCCGCCACTCACCATAGCTGTGAAGACCAAGAAAGCAGGTTCTGTTATTTTGCTGATAGATTTACAAATCCAAACAAACAAGCAAACAACCCCCCAGTAAGCTGTTGATTTTTTTGGGAATGAGGTGAATGTTGAATATACTCACCAACGCTGACAGGGTTCCCTGTGCATATCCTGTTAGGAACAGAGAAACAAAATGCATTAATTATTTTACAACTGAAGGTGGCTTACATACTGAATTTTTGTACGATTGCCATACAGTGGTGCCCCGCAAGACGAATGCCTCGCAAGACGAAAAACTAGACGAAAGGGTTTTCCATTTTTTGAGTCGTTCCGCAAGACGAATTTCCCTATGGGCTTGCTTCACAAGACGAAACGTCTTGCGAGTTCTTGTGAGTTTGTTTCCTTTTTCTTAAAGCCGCTAAGCCGTTAATAGCCGCTAAGCCGCTAATAGCAGTGCTTCGCAAGATGAAAAAAACGCAAGACGAAGAGACTCGCGGAACGGATTAATTTCGTCTTGCAAGGCACCACTGTATTTTGAAGATGAAAAAGGAGGACGCCGGGAGCGAGTCTTGGTGGTGGGGAATCTAACAGAGGAGCCCCTACCAGTCTATATGCCTTTTCATGCACACTTTACCTCAATATGTGCATTTTTGCACTGATTACTTGGCTGATAAAAAGCCAGTGAAGTGTGAATTTTGCAGGATGGCTGTGATTCCGTACGCACTATGTTTCTGAAAGTGGAAAATTGGCAGATGCAACTTTGAATGTGACCTGAATCAAGCTTTTCCCACATCCCTACTTATGGTCCTCCATATGCTGTGGGTCTGCAACTTCCACCCTCCATAATCATTGCCCATGCTGCCCGGGGCAAATGGTAGCTAGAACCCAAAAAACATATCCATTCAATTATATGTATATATTCAAAATGGCACCCCACCTGTTCTCCTCTCCTTCCAACATTGCTTTATAAGTAGCAATCTCAATATCCAAAGCCAGCTTGGTGTTTAGCAGCTCTTGATAATCACGAAGCAGGCAAGCTAATTTATCTTTGGCCTGCTGGTAGGCTGTCTGCAGTTCAACATGCTTGCTCCGTGCATCTTTTAGGGCAATGTCACCACGCTGCTCAGCATCGCAGATAGCTGACTGCAGGCTTGCAACCTGGGAATGGGGAAAAGAATAAAAATGAATGGTTTGTCAGGAAGATACTCAAGACAAAGCTAAAAGCAGAAGGAAATGGGATCTCCGTGGCCTCTTGCAGTGCTGATGACTGAGGGCAAGGATAGGGAACCTGCGGCCCTTCAGACATTGTTGGACTCCAAATCCTACCATGCTCAGCCAGTATAGCCAATGGTCAGGGGTGGCAAAGTCAACCACATCAAGAGAGCCACTGTTTCCCTACCCCTGAAGTAGTAAAAGCAAGCACTGGCTTTCCTCTCTGCTGCTCCAACTTGTCTTTTGGGGACCTTGCCAGTGCAAAGAATAGGAAAGGCTATGTGATTATTCTCAAAGGCTCTTCTCATCATCCTTTTCAATGGGTAGTCATGGATATGGTTGAGATGGCTTTCTGAATGCCCCTCAGCAAATATCCTGCAAATATCCCCTGAACACTCATATATCATATTATTAGACAATCTGTAATGATGACACCCAATGATACGTGGTTTACAGTTATACCTTGAAAGTCAAACAGAATCTATTCCGGAAGTCCGTTCAACTTCCAAAATGTTTGGAAACCAAAGCACAGCTTCTGACTTGCTGTAGGAAGCTCCTGAAGCCAATCAGAAGCTGTGTAAGCCCCGCTGAACATTCAGCTTCCAAAAAAAGTTTGAAAACCAGAACACTCACTTCCGGTTTCCGATTGTTCGGGAGGCAAAATGTTCGGCAACTAAGTTGTTCAAGATCCAAGGTACGACTGTATATTTTGGAGATTTAACTTTGAGGTATGATTTCAGTCATTGGAAATTTACAGTATCTGAATGGCTAGCATGTGACGGGGTTTAGATATTTAATAGTTCATTTGCAATGGGCATTTCAGATGTAACCATCTTTGATAGTTGTCATGTGCTAGCATTTAGTAGTTGGCAGAAGCTGATGCCTTATGACCAAAAGATCAAAGCCACCAGAAGAGTCCATTGGACATGCCTTATACCAAGTCAGACTATTGCTCCATCTAGCTCAGTATGGTCTACTGGTGATGGTCAGTGGCAATGCAGACAGGAACATTTTTCAGCCCTGCCTGGATATTCAGGGGATTGAACTTAGGAGCTGCTGCATGCAAGGCAAATGTTCCACTATTGCTATGCAGCCTCACACCACACAACTTTTTTGAGAGCTGGTCAATCTGCTCCTCCTCTGCATCAGTAATAATCAAATGATCTTATTGTATCCAATACAGAGGCACAGCAAAATCATTCCCAGCAGAGGCAAGTGGAAGGAAGGAAGGAAGGAAGGAAGGAAGGAAGGAAGGAAGGGCAGAATGTTGCTATATCTGGGTTCTTTCTTGCAGCAAACCCTCCAACCATTCTCACAGTTGGGGAACTACTATATTAGGCCTTTGTCTATGGGTAGCTTGTGATCAGCACCATTGCCGTTACTGGAAGACAAGTTCATCTGCTGAGACAAGTGGCTAAAACAAGACTTGCTCTACCTGCTTCTTTGCATTGTCAGTATCGCTATGCAGCCTCTGGATCACTCTGTTCAGCTCTGTGATCTCATGCTGGTTGCATTTAAGCTCTTCGTTGAATTTGCCCCGATGGTTCTGCATTTCTGCAATCTAGTGCAAGGAAAACACAGTTACTCCTGGGAATCAGTGCCACTCTTACCACCTGAATAGCTGCTGAAGTGTCAAGGTAAGAAACCAATGCTTTGCGTGGCAAGTCCCCTCCCCCATGTGAAATGAAGATACAGGAAACATTATTTAAGGTTAATGGGCATAAAAAGGCCACAACTTTATTGATTACAGGAATAGGAAGGTATTGGCCTTGGGCATTGGCTCCTATCGACTACCCAGCATGGAGACCGGAAAGGGTTATCCACAAGCCGTGGGGGTCCTGTTGAAGTACGCCAACTAGGATCCCACGGGTGTCACCGCTTGGGGGCGTGCCCTTACCTCCCTAGGTTTCGGACAAGGCAACGCCCCCGGAGTCCTCTACCAGACTACCCCTTTCATTGGGGGAAGGTGATGGCGCTTCCTTCCCCCTTCATTTGCATAACAATTCCCCCTGCCAATGCCTAACCACCAATACCGAGGAAGTTGTGACATTTGCTACGAGGTAGGTGAAAAAACCAAAGGCTGGAAGTGTGCCAAATTGGAAAAATTCCTACCAGGCCCCTTGCGGCGACCAACCGGAGTCCATAGCAAGGTCATAGCTAACTAAGCCTAAAGGGTGAGTGGGATGGGAAAACCGGTCAGCTGGAACGGGGCAAAGAGGGTGGACCCTGGTCGTGCCTGGCCTTAAATGGGTGAGGCCACACCTCCCTAGCCCGCCGATTGGCGAGCAGGGCTGCAGGCACGCCCGGGGATTCCCTTGCTCTCACAGGGGCAAAAGGCCAGCCCCTGCGTGTGTGGGAGGGGGTAGCCCGCAACCCCCTCTCCTCTCCAGTTCGGAAATGGCTTTATCTCCTATAATGCATTTGCTGAAAAGGGCCTATAACTATGCACTTACTGAAACATGCACATTTTTATTTATATATACACAATGGAGTATCCAGTTAATTACTTCCACCAGTACAAGAATTTCTGCTTGTACAACTGAACTTCCTGTCCCTCTCCCTGCATGCCCTTGCACCCTTGCAAATCTGATCTGGAGGCCTGGGGGAACCTCTTGAGCGGATTTAGTGTGGTGTGGAGTGGGGCACAGGGAGAGGAGATGGAGGGAAGTTCCATTGCACAGCCAAAGGTCCTTGTGCTAGAGAGGGTACTTTGTTGGATACCACCCACAACTTTGATCTTTAATCCAGGGGATAAAAATGAGTGCAGGTGTTAGCACTCAAATAAATCTGAATTGTGCACTTTGTGTACATGTGGGCAAGTCTTGAATTTGAAATGCTGGATTCTATTGGCACAGCCCATTATTGGGAATTTATGTACGATGTCTACTATAATATTTGTGGTATGACTCTTAAATTATAATGATATAACTTAGCCAAAGTTGAGGCACAGTCCAAAGTGCATTTTTAAGGGAATAAGATGCACTGATTTTTAAGGGCTTTATTAGGATCACACTTTAATTCTAGGCTGCATTATGATACAACTTGTGTGTGTATGTGTGGCCAAAATTCCTCTAGTTTTGACCTAGAGCAAAGGACCACTATCTAGAGCAGGGGCTGGCAAGGCTTATCACTCCCGCAGAGATCCTCCGTGGGCTGGGCCGGCGCAGCGCAATGCTGGAAATCGCATCTGTGCATGTTCGCGGCTCTGAAAATTGCTTCTGCACATGCCCAGACACTGAAAATTGTGCCTGCACAGAAACAATTTTTGGCATCTGGACATGCGCAGAAGTGATTTCCAGAGCCACGGAAGAGAGTCCCTGTGCCGCACTGCGCCGGTTTAGCACAGCACGCGGGGACTCACCGAGCTAGCGGCTCGGTTCAGGGGTGACTCGTGGGCCGGTTAAATGGCCTCCGTGGGCTGCTTCCGGCCCATGGGCCTTAGGTTACCGACCCCTGATCTACATTGTGCACATAGATCTCTAAACGATCTTCCACAATAGTTTCAGTCACCATCAACTCCATAACCAACTATTTTAAAAATCAACATATGCTTCAGAGTCAATAGGTTTGCTGCAGGGTGGAGAGATCATTGCTGCTGAACAATCTGCTGCCTGGTACATGAAAGAAGGGTCTCTGCCTTGCTGCCTGAGTGCTGATGTTCAAGTCAAGCACTTGTGTAGCCACATTCCAAGCTGCACATTCCAACATCACAATGGTTCCTTGGGCTGAAATGGCACCGTGACCATACATTATAGTATGAATAAAGGGGCAGCTGTATTCTTGTTGCGCTAAATACTGATCATCTGCAGAGAACCCTAAATGGGGATTAATTCTGGTACTCTGACTCACCTTGTTGTGGTAAAAAGCTTCGGCTTCTTGTTTGCTGGTATGAGCAATATTCTGATACCAGGCTTCTACGTTTTTAAGGATGAGGTCCATGTCCAAGTCTCGCGTGTTGTCCATTTTCAGAACCACCGAGGTGTCACCAATCTGGTGGTCGAACTGAGCCAACTCCTGCAGAACATGATATGGTCTCACTGTAAGATTGCACATGGCTAACCTTGCTCCTAATTTGGTCAGACAAATGAGTTGGACTACTTACTGGGCTTTTCAAATTGCTCTAAATTAAGACAAATTCTGTAAAAATGTGCTGGATCGCAATAACAACAGATGCTCCCAAGCTGTCTTCAAAGATACATTTGTAGGGAATAACTTCTACCCAATATTAAAATGTAAACATTTAGGCAAATGGAGACATTCCCATTGAGTATGGTGGGAATAAACTGAATTTGTAGGATGCAACCTCCATCTATCCAAATAAATATGCCCCTTTTCCTGTTTTTGTTTTCATTTGTACCATCTTATCTGCAATGTGGCTCAAGCTCTGATGCATACAGTATACAGCTCTTCACATAAACAAGAGTTTCCTCTTCCCTTCAGTTGTTCCTTACAAAGCTCCAAACAGGAGATTCCACAGAGGTGAATATTGACATGGGACTTTGTAACTCCCATTTTACAGTTGGGGAAACTGAACTGAGTCTGACATGGTGGCTTGCCTCAGGCACTTTCAGTGAGCCTGTGTAGCAGTTGTGGGGGCGGTGACCAAGCATACCTAAATCCCATTTTGTATCAGATGTCCAAGTAATAAGTTCCTATTTCTTTAGGGACAAGCTTGCCACATGGTTCATATTAAATCGTACCTCTGCAAAGACACATCTCAGGACTTCCAACTCTTGTGCCAACACATCTACTTTGGATTCTAGTTCCTCCTTGGTGAGGAATACGCTGTCAACATCCTGGAGAGAGAAGGAAAACACACAAGAAACATGAAAGGAAGGAAGGAAGGACTGGTAGTATTGAATTTAATAAAGCTAAAAATAATTCTGTTCTTTCTGTCTTGGAATTGGCATTTTCATGATTCCAGAAAGCAGAAACATCTCCAGGAACCACTTCCTGCTGCATGTGTACAGAGTATCTGCTTTAACTGAGATGCATATAAGGTAGCCTTTATGGGCAAAGTATCATGTGCACAGTTCCAGGTGCTCCATGCTAGTTAGACTGTATGTATGTAATTAATATTTTCCAGGCCACAACTTCTTACCTTTTTGAGCACCACAAATTCATTTTCTGCTGATGTGCGCCTATTGACTTCCTCTTCATATCTGTTTTGAGAGAGTAGGGGAAAACACTTAGGGTTTGCTCTTACTGTTGGAAGAATTTAACAAAAAACCTGCTCTGCAAGAACCATTAGTGGGACTCAAGAAAGGAGTGTTTACACTAAGGAAGGGGTCAGCAAGGTTTATCTTGACTGGGACGGATTGGCCCCGCAGAGATCCCTCTGTTGGCCAGATTGCGTGTGCAATTTTCGGCGCCGCAGAAGCGAGTCCCCGTACTGCGCTGCGCTGGTCTAGCGCAGTGGGCAGGCAGGCAGCTTGGTTCAGGGGCAGCTTGTGGGCTGGTCAAATGACCTCCACGGGCCACTTCCGGCCGATGGGCCTTAGGTTGCTGACCCCTGCACTAAGGCAAAAACAAAATTGGGAGTGATTTTCTTTAACAACTTGGGCAGTTCTGGAAGATTCCCCCATTGGCTGATTTTCCAGAGATTGCATGAAAGTGTTTACCACTCCAGAGTGAGGGCAATCCAGTTGCCTAGAATCACCCACATGACTGATATAAAGATACATTGGCCTCACTCTGAATTGGCTTCATTTATCCACACTGATGTCATTGTGTAGTCAAATCTGATTGGCTACCTAATCCCATGAAACAATGATGGGATCATGGGATCGAACAGGGCGGGGAAGCAGTTCTCTGAAGAACAAAATAGCACTAATTGAGCAGCACAGAGGATGGAACAATGGTAGTGAACAGAAACCAGCTGAGTTTTTAAAAATTCAATCTTCTCAATTTATACACTCTTTTTTGTAGGCAACTGTGCATACAACTGTGCATACAACTGCACATACACATTTTTCCAAAACAAACTTCCCTTATATAATGCATTTTGTAGGTTATTTTCACAAATATATGCATTTTATTCACATTTTACCCCAGTACATGCATTTTTGTACACATTGCTTGGTTGGAGAACTGCACTGCATAATTCAGACAGTTTTGAAGGATGGCTGGGTTTCCCTTCATGCACTTTTTCAGAAAGTGCAAATGAGGAAGTTTGCCTTTAATTGTTCTTCCCCGTCTCTAGAGATGGCTACAGATTCAAATGGCAATGTATATGAGCCCTTCAATATCAAACAATCTTATCTTGAAAAGCAGCTCTGCAGATTAATGGGTGATATCAAATCAAATTAATGGGTGATATCATCTGCATAAAGCAGATGAAATAAATTAAGTCCATTGATTTCAATGGGGCTACTCTGAGTGTGACTTAGTTGGTTTTCTCCCAATGTGTAGAAGGGGAAATTGGAATAGAAACTTTTTTTCCAGAAGAAGAAGAAGAAGAAGAAGAAGAAGAAGAAGAAGAAGAAGAAGAAGAAGAATTAAAATGGCCCCTCTAGTCGTGGGTGAGGAGTTAGGCAGGCTGCAAAAGTTTCATCTAGTGCAGTGGTTCTCAAACCTTTTTCTCAGGGCCACATTTTCAGAATAAAAAATTGATCGTGCCACACCAAATTTTATTGATGAGAAACACATTGGAAAACAAAACAAAACAACTCCCAGCAGTGCTTGATTTTGAAAAGATATCTATCCATATTCTGCAAAAAAATAAAAATAAAATAAAATTATACTACAACTCTTGAGAGACTGTGATCTACTCATAGTATAAGACAACTGGACAACTGACTCATTGTCAGAGTTGTTGAGCTTTTTTTTGGGGGGGGGGGTGCACGATCGACCTGTTGGACATGCCTGTACTACACTATACTACACTGAGATGTTTAAATGCTTCTTCGATTGTCCTTGAATTTTCCCACCACACTTGCCATTGTCTCCTGCCACACCAGTGCAGCACACCACACCCTAGTGAATGAGTTCACTTACTTTGACCTGTAGTCCTCTACCAGTTCCTGCATGTTCTTCTGTTCATGTTGCAGTTTCTGTCTCTCACTCAAGAGGCATTCTAGCTGCTTCTTAAGTGCGGCCAGGAAATTCTCATAGTAGCCTTCAAGGTTCTTCCTTGCAGGTTGGACACACTGGTGCAGAAGCTCCCACTTGGTGGCAAGCACCTTATTCTGCTGCTCCAGGGATCGGACCTGAAAGGAACATGTTGTTATTTAGTCGCTTAGTCATTTAGTATTGTCTGAGAGCCAGTGTGGTGTAGTGGTTAAGAATGGTAGACTCGTAATCTGGTGAACCGGGTTTGCTTCCCTGCTCTTCCACATACAGCTGCTGGGTGACCTTGGGCTAGTCACACTTCTTTGAAGTCTCTCAGCCCCACTCACCTCACAGAGGGTTTGTTGTGGGGGAGGAAAGGAGGAAGGGAAAGGAGAATGTTAGCCGTTTTGAGACTCCTTCGGGTAGTGATAAAGAGGGATACCAAATCCAAACTCTTCTTCTTCTGACTCTTTCTGACCCCATGGACCAGTGCACGCCAGGCACTCCTGTCTTCCACTGCCTCCAGTTATACTTCCCATTCTGGCAGGCCTCCCAACAAGACCTAATTTCTTGCTGTGCATTACATAGCAGAATTCAGAGGTGAGAACACACATTCTTGTTCATGCTTTTCTAGCAACAATCCAAAATGAAACCTCGCCCCTGTGCAGATCAAATTACAAGGCCTAAAATCTTATGGGTAGGCTATAGCTCAGTAGCTTACTGTATGTTATCCCAGTTTGGTTAAATGCCTTCAACCAGGCTACTGAAAAACTTCAGTTTTCCTCCGAAAATTCTTTGGTGTATCAAATTGTGTCCCCTATGCTGATTTATGTCTAGAAACAAACCAAATACTTTTAGAAACAAAAGTTTCGTTCCTAACATTTAACTTTTAGCTGTGGCTGCATTACAGATATGGACCTAATATTCTTGTTGCGGCCATGTTAGCTGAATATCAATAATCAGGATGGTTAAGAGGGATGGAGAACAAAATTAAACAGATAGGAATCACACTAGACTCCTTGTACTGCTTATCAGAAACCCTCTGTTTGAGATAATGAAATGCAGATTGTCAGACAATGGGTTTCAAGAATTTAGTAGCCAAATCAGGAATAGGGTTTGTGCAAGTTTGGGGGTGGTGCGATGCGAACAGTCAATGGTGACTTATCTTTACCAACTGACCAACCCAAATGAATGAAGGGGCTACATGCTACAAATGCCGCCGCACCACCCATGGTCTGAAGAGGTAACATCCTGCATTCTGTCACTTTGGTCTAATACCTCATTTTGCATTGTGTTTAAAAAACAAAAAAACAAAGAAACCCAAAACAAAGAAACCCTCTTTTAATAATACTTCAGTGCAGTTTAGTCATAGACCTCAAAACTAAGTACAAACAAACCTTTCTTGCCAGTTAACTTATGTGTTGAGCAAGATAGTCACCCACTCCCTACTGGGAATTATAGAATCATAGAATGAGAGAATTGCAGAGTTGGAAGGGACCACAGGGGTCATCTAGTCCAACCCCCTGAATTCAGGAATCTTTTGCCCAGTGTGGGGCTCAAACCCAAGACCCTGAGATAAAAAGTCTAATGCTGTACTGGCTGAGCTATGAATGAAAGTTAGAAGTTGTAATCGGGCATGGGGAACCTGTGGCCCTCCAGATATTGGTGGACTAAAGCTCCCATCTTCCCTGACCTTTGACATACACTCCAACATTTATCCAATGAAAACAGGGATGTCCCATTCCATAATGATACATTTACTATTTATACCCCACATGTCTTGTTGGGTTGCCCCAGCCACTCTGAGCAGCTTCCAACATATATAAAAACATAGCAAAACATTAAACATTAAATAAAAACTTCCCTATACAGGATTGCCTTCAGACAACTCGGGGGTTGAATAACTCCATACCTTCAACATTACTCCAGTGAAAACATGGACATCCTACCACACCCTCCAACATTTCTCCAATGAAAGTATGGGCATCCTAAGGAAAATTGGGACCTTCCAGGATCAAAGCAGAAACTGGGATGGCATCTCTAAATCGGGGCACCCCTGGAATATAGGGACACTTGGAGGGTCTTTTTTGAACATGCTGTCTGGGGCCGATGGGAGTTGGAATCCAATGACATCTCTGTTCCAGAAGGTTCTTTGATGCTCTTAATTCACTTGGAGTGGGCACCAAAGATAAGACACTCCCACCTTTTCCAGAGGTTCTCATGGTGTTAGATATAACAGTTCAGAAACAAACCATAAACTGATTCCCCTGATACAAAGCTCCCTGGTGCTTGTTTGCATGAAGGAACGCTCTTGTGGGTATGGGACTGGTTCTTAAGCACCCTTTTATCCCTAAGTAACAAATGAATTGGAATTCAAATGTTTAGTTTTTCAGGGAACTTATTTTCCATGCAGAAAATAAGAATGCAGCATGCAATGCATTGCATATGGATTGTACTAAATGTATGAGAAGATTTCCAGCAGACAAGAAAAAGAAAAGGGGTGGGAGTTGTTAGCTAAAATAATCTGAAGGATGAAGGAGAAACTAGTAGCTTTATAACTTCCCATTTCTTTTTCTCCTGTGCTGGAACTAGTCTCCTGAATCTAATGCAACCAGTCTGCAAGTCTGTAATATTAAATGCTACGCATTTATTTCCTGGATGGAATATAAGTTCTCTTAAACTACCCTGCAACAAACCAGGTTGCAGTGATTCAGGATATCATTTTACTTGTATGCAATCTGAAGTTTCTTCCACTACCCAGAAGTCTTAGTAACTGTGTGAGTACAGAACCAAAATGAATTTTGTTGCAAGTAGTATTTTTTTCAAACAGGTCTTGCAACTTACGTTTGCATTCTCACTCTACCTTCCAGTCTCGCCTAAGGCAATTTGTGTATGTGTGTTTAAAAATAATAATAACCAGTTGCCTTTCCTCTATGATACTTGCAAAATTTTTACAGGAAAATATAGGCTACCCAGTTTGTCCAAAATGAGGCCAAATACATTCTCCTGGAAAAACAATGCCATTTCATTTCTTCACTCCATAAGTTGAAACTGGCATGAGAAGCTCCCCGAAGAACCAGAGGTTTTTACAACTGATGTAAAATGGACAAAACAAAGGAGGAGGGAGGGAACCAAATCTGTGTTGGCTTTGACATACAAAGTAGCATGTCAGGAAAATGGAGCAAATGGAAAGCATTGGAGGGCTACTTTAGCGAATTAGGAGGAGAACTTTGAACCAAGAAGCTCATGGCTCAAATGTTGTCTTTTAGGCTGTGTACACACCATACATTTAAAGACTCTCCCCCTGCAACCACCAATAATCCTGGCATTTGTAGTTTACCCATCACATTGTTACAATTCACAGCACCCTGAACTAACTACACACCCCATGAGACTTCCCAGGGGTGAGGAGAATGCGCTTTTAATGTATGATGTGCATGCAGCCCTAAACAAGCTACTATCTCTTAGCCTCCCTCCCCAACTCCTCTTCTGCAATAGGAGCATAATCTTTATAACAAGTCTGTTGTAAAGTTTCCTGAAATAATGCAGTGGGTCCTTTACACCCTAAAGTGGTTTATATATGCGCTAAATGCATAGTTATGTTTCAGGAAAGGCTTTTAAGAAGTAGCTTTCATGGTGGGATTTTAACCGGTGAGTAGGAAATGATAAATAGATGTGATTGGAGTGTTCTCCTAGGACTAGGGAGCACCATGGCAGAAACCCAAAAGAGGAGAAAAGGGAAAGGAGCAAAGGCGGAATGAACTACAGCTAAAGGAGGTTGGGGTCCTCATGGAGGAGGAGGAGGAGGAGGAGGAGGAGGAGGAGGAGGAGAAGAAGAAGAAGAAGAAGAAGAAGAAGAAGAAGAAGAAGAAGAGGAGGAGGAGGAGGAGGAGGAGGAAGAGGAGGAGGAGGAGGTGTTTGGACTTGATATCCCACCTTTCACTCCCCTTAAGGAATCTCAAAGCTGCTAACAATCTCCTTTCCCTTCCACCCCTACAACAAACACTCTGTGAGGTGAGTGAGGCTGAGAGACTTTAGAGAAGTGTGACTGAAGGTAGCCCAAGGTCACCCAGCAGCTGCATGTGGAGGAGCGGGAAAGCGAACGCGGTTCACCAGATTATGAGTCCACCGCTCTTAGCCACTACACCACGTTTGCTCTCTTCTCTTCATTTAAAAATTGCCTTGGGGAGAAAGCCCATTGGATGGCCAAGCTCTTACCTTATCGATGAAGCAGGCAAACTGGTTGTTCAAGGTCTTCATCTCCTCTTTCTCATGTGTGCGTGCTTTCTGCTCCTCTGGATCAACTCCAACCGAAAGTGGCTTCAAGAGGCGTTCATCCATCGAGACACCTCGGATCCCTTCGCCTCTGCATGGCATGCCGCCACCCAAACCTCCCATCCTACCATAACCTGCAAAGCCACCCTGACACCCTTGACCACCCATGCCCATGCCTTGACCACCCATGCCCATGCCTTGACCACCCATGGCTATGCCTTGACCACCCATGCCCATGCCTTGAGCACCAATACCTATGCCTTGACCACCCATAACCATGCCTTGTCCACCCATGCCCATGCCTTGACCACCCATAACCATGCCTTGTCCACCCATGCCCATGCCTTGTCCACCCATGCCCATGCCTTGACCGCCCATGCCCATACCACCAATACCACCATAGATTTGTCCTCCATAGCCCTGACCACAAGCAATCCTTCGACCTCCACCACCAAAGTTATTAAGGCTCACGCTGGAGTAGCCACCAGCTCCCTGCGTCCTTGCAACTGGCTGGCACATAGGAGCACAGCTGCCTCGACCACCACCCAGGCCACCAGTGACAGAAACAGAGGAGAAGCCCCTTCGTCCACCAAGATATCGAGGACCACCACATATGTTCATGGTAGCTTTCTGAAAAGTGAAGCAAGCTGGTACTATAAGTGAAGCAATGGGACGAAGGGAGAGCAGAGGGCGAAGTACAGAGAATCCCTTTGATATGAAATCAGGAGCTCCGCTCTTATATATGGCTCAAGAGCTGCATGGGGTGCAAAAAATTAAATGAAACAGCATGGGTTTGGTTTGCCTAGCAGCCAGAAAAAGTTCCTTTTAGTGCAGCCTCTGCTCCAGAGCAAACACTTATCATATATGAAATAGTGTGAAATTAAAAAAACTTGCTTTGCTTGCAAGCTTTCTTCTCAGCGGCCTTTGTGCTTTACTTTAATTAATCTGCTTCCTCAATGTGTAATTATCTTTCAGCAAAATACTTCAAGTGGCTTGTTTACAGGTGCGTTTCACTTGCAGCTTCACCCCTTTTTATGTTTAATTATGTCAGGGAACATACCATTATTGTTAATGAGCAATTTTTCCAGGATTACCGTCCTCCATCCAGATAGAAGGACGGACATGGGGGAGATTGCATTCCTAGTTGCTGCCAGCATTTTGCTCAAAGGGGAATCTGAAATGAATTTGAGGGGTAGCTTCTTAATCAGAAATCACCAAAGACAGAAAAAGTTCTGTAAGTTATGGGATTTCTCCGAGAGGGGGACTTCCAAAAGGCTCTGACTTGCTAGCAGACTTTTGCCTAAAGCAAAGCTGGAAGTGCATTTGGAGGCTCCTATGTTAAGCAAAACGTCTGGCGTATAAGAATGTTGAGAGATTTTTTTTTTGTGGGGGGGGGGGAGCCAGGGATGTTTTGTACACACCTAGTTGTATCTATCCCATGAAACAAGGAACTTGCTAATAGCAGCAAAGGGATGCTGGCTAAAATAGGCATGACCTAAAATAGAGGTGGGGAGTCTGTTGCCCTCCAGATGTTGTTGGACTCCAACTTCCATCAACCAGCAGGGGCAGTAGTCAGGGATGATGGGAACTGTAGTCAGATTCCTTGTCCATGGATTAAAGAGACAATGGAATGGTTTCAACCTGCAGATAAAATCTCCTGCTTGTGATTGACAGGCACACTGTCCAGTTTCCAGTGCTTCTGAATCAGCGCTCAAGTGTTGAACTGGCGCAGGGGGCGGTGGGAGATGACACTTTCGGTCCTGGAAAAATTGGGAAATGACACTTTTGTTGTTTACTGGTTCACCCCAGTTTGGAGAATGTAATTCTCTTTGAAGACATGCTGGGTTGGGATGAGACATTTGCAAGAACCCTTGAGAAATTGGGCAGATCTAACTGAAGCTATGTTGGCTTCACACAGAATCCCTGCAGATGTCTGTCTGAATAGGAGCTCCCCAAAAACCGCTGAGTTTTACTGGCAGTGAAATTAGTCGAGCACACCTCCCCTGCCCACCAGATTATGCTAATAAATGTTTGTTTTAAGCCCTTCAACAATTCCCATAGATCTTTTGCCTGAGCTTCCAAATTCAGCCAATATTTCTCTTCAGACAAAAATTTAGGAAGTTACACAGTGTTTCCAAAGTGAGTCTTCTTGCTTCCCTTTTAATCTTGTCATGGGGCCAGCTGAGTTCCCACATTTTACTAGGTTTTGAGGAAAAGCTAAGTACTGTTTAGTTTAAGGGGGGGGGTGACGGGGAGCTGAAATTACAGAGGTTTAGAAAAATATTCATGGCATGGTGAGTAGAGAGAACTTTCTCCTCTTCATAATATCCAAACTTGTGGCCACACAAGCGAAACCAACCAAAAGCAGTCTATTAAGGCAGCCAAATACTTTCTCTCACACAATTAGTAATTAGCTTACAGAACTCCTTGTCAAAAGATGTGGTAATGGCCACAAGTTTGAATGGCTTTTAAATTAAATTAAGATGCATTCATGGAAGATGGCTCTATTGTAAGCTATGAAGTCTCCCAGTTCAGAGTCAGCACGCCTCTGAGGACGAGTCTCTGGGAATATCAGGTGGTGCTCTTGTGCTCGAATCCTGCTTGGTGGCTTCTCACAGGCATCTGGGTGGCCAATGGGAGGAAAGGATGCAGGGGCAGATGGACCTTTGGCATGATCCAGCAGAGCTCTTCTTATGTTCTTGTGCTCATTCCTTAAGGGCTTCCCACAGGGACCTGGTTGGCCATAGGAATAGGATGCTGGGCTGGCTAGGTCTTCAGTTTGATCCAGATGGGCCCTTATTCCTTCAGGACAGGGAAAACTTTGCTGCTGTAGATATTGCTGGACTCTAATACACATCAGCCCCCAGCCAGCATGGCCAATGGTTAGAGAAGATGGGCCTTCACTGTGATTCAGTAGCACTCTTTCCTCTTGTTCTTAAATCTACTTGTTTATTTGTCAAACATTGGTCTGAAATCACAGGAATGGAACAAAATGAATATGATTGAGGCTTGTGCCCGGTTCCAGTGAGAAAGTTATTACAGACACAAGTATCCACATCTCAAAATCAAGTTGCTAAAACTTATATATTTTTTATCTTTTGAGTTGTTGGGTTTGGGAGCAACTTTTATATTGCCAGGGACGCGGGTGGCACTGTGGGTAAAACCTCAGCGCCTAGGACTTGCCGATCGTCAGGTCGGCGGTTCGAATCCCCGCAGCGGGGTGCGCTCCCGTTGCTCGGTCCCAGCGCCTGCCAAAAGCACCCCCGGGTGCAAGTAGATAAATAGGGACCGCTTTCTAGCGGGAAGGTAAACGGCGTTTCCGTGTGCTGCGCTGGCTCACCAGATGCAGCTTGTCACGCTGGCCACGTGACCCGGAAGTGTCTTCGGACAGCGCTGGCCCCCGGCCTCTTAAGCGAGATGGGCGCGCAACCCCAGAGTCGGACACGACTGGCCCATATGGGCAGGGGTACCTTTACCTTTACCTTTTATATTGCCAGTAAGACTTCAGGTTTACCTCAGACTGCAAACACTCCTCTGTTCCTGGGCTAAAACTATGCTTCACTTTATCACTCCCTGCCCAGTGGCATCAGCCAGGCACCTTCTCTATAATCTTTTTGGTGCCTGGCCAAAACCCTTTTGGGTTTAGCCAAGCCCATCCACACATACAGACTGTGGACAGATGTTTTAATCTGCTGGTTTTTCCCAAGTTCACCATTGATTTTAATTATCTTTTGAATGTTTTAAATAGTAGCCGTTAACTTTTTTTTATTGATAATTTCATTGATTTATTCTTTTTGTAAACCACCTCAAGGTGGTATATAAATTTCATTAAATGAATAAAATAATATATATCACACGTCACAGATAAAATAACAATGTTATGAACTTTCCAATCGCAGGGTGGCTGATCCACAACACCCCAGTCTGCACTCAGACAGCCCCCATGCCCCCATCTTCTGACTTCCAAACCATCCAGAGGGTGGCACTGGCTGTGGCCTTTGCAGAGGATGGGGACAAAGCTAGAATTAGCCTGCTCTGCCTGCCATTGAAGCAGCTGCCGTCTGGGCTCCTGGCCTCCTGCCCTACCAGTCCCAGAGGCAACCCTGAGGAAGAAGCTGATCTGGATATAAGAAACAAGGCAGGCAGGTGAGGCTGGTGGAGCAGTGACCAACCTCCACTGCCAGCCACCAAGGTAATCCCAAACCTATAAAATATTACTAATTTATCACGTGGAAACATTATTGTATTTGTCAATATTTACGGTATATTGCAGTGGTACCTTGGTTTGCAAACAGTCTGGTTTGCATATGTTTTGGATTACAAACACGTCAAACCCGGAAGTGTGTGTCCCACTTTTTTGGGATTACAACCCATTTTGGGGGGGATTACGAACAAAAATTTTCTGGAGGCCCCATTCGCAAAAGCGCACTTTGGGTTACAGCCTATTTTGGTTTACAAATGGACCTCCAGAACGGATTATGGTTGTAAACCAAGGTACCACTGTATATCTATTCTACATGATTTCATTTGAAGGATTCTGTTTCTCTTTTATTTCCAGCATTGCTTGGTTTAAGCAATTCGGGGAGTTTACATGCCTGCTACCCTCTGACGTTTTGCTGGCCATTCTCTTGTTGATGGTGACCTCTTCTTTCATTTCTGTGTAAGGAGCATGTGAGTGGCAACTGTTAAGTTCCATTATCAGCTCTTTATGCTTGACTCGTTCGTCCAAGGTTAGGGCATTTTGTTGCTGGCATCCGTCTGTCTCGGGAGACAATGGAGGAGTGTGTCTTTGTGGGGTTGAAATCAAACTGTTGGAAGCACCTGTTGTGGCTGTAGAGACCAATACGAGAGAGACATGTTTTGTTGCAGCTGGGGCAGATCATAGAATCATAGAATCATAGAGCTGGAATAGACCACAAGGGCCATCGAGTCCAACCCCCTGCCAAGCAGGAAACACCATCAGAGCACTCCTGACATATGGTTGTCAAGCCTCTGCTTAAAGACCTCCAAAGAAGGAGACTCCACCACACTCCTTGGCAGCAAATTCCACTGTCAAACAGCTCTTACTGTCAGGAAGTTCTTCCTAATGTTTAGGTGGAATCTTCTTTCTTGTAGTTTGGATCCATTGCTCCGTGTCCGCTTCTCTGGAGCAGCAGAAAACAACCTTTCTCTATATGACATCCTTTTATATATTTGAACACGGCTATCATATCACCCCTTAACCTGGATGAAGGCATCCAGTTGTGCTGCTGCAGATGCATCATGGCGTTTCTTCTCTCTGCACTCCTACCGGTGGTAATTTCTCCTTTGCTATGGATACACCACTTCACTGTTTGTCTCCATGCGCTGCAGTCACCTGCAGGGCATTCCCACATGGCAGAGTTGATGCTGCCAACCTTCATGCCACATGCAGAGCTGGTCTTCCAATGAGCCTGGCTGACATTTTAGAGGGGATGAATTTGTCGTCATTTTACTTCTTGTTGGGGGTTTTTAGTTAGTCAGTCTGCTTATGGGTCTTAAACTGCTTCCCAGCAAACACTTCCGAGCATTATACAACAGTAAGTTAAAAAACAAAACATTTAAAATTGAATGTGCATAACAAAAGCAACCCTCAAATTACAAAATGTCATCTAGTGCAAAATATGACATGGCTGCTTCATGATGGATGAAGTTTTGCTTTTATTGTAC